GATTTGAAAATTGCACCAAAATTAACTACAGATTTAATTGAGTTGGACCATTTTAACAAAATGAAAGTATCAAATGCATATTATACGCTCAATAATGATATTTATGCTGGTTTGAATTTTTTGAGTGATGAACCTACATGCAGTTCTATAGACGAAAATGCGAAAACCACTGCTTGGTTTGTTAAAATGATTTTTAGGTGGTTTTCTCTCTTAACATCACGGACAAGAACTTTAGCTTTGAGCAAGTTCAATGAAGTTGTTTAATCAGATACCATATGCTTTTTGAATGAAATTATCGAGTTGTTTAGACATTTAGAAATTGGGGCGGAAAGGGTTCATTGGAAACCAATTCAAAGTGGAGTAATTCTATCAACCCAGAGTATTTTGGATATTCAAGACTTGCTTTTGAATTTTCGAAATTACGAATTTCTATTGACTTCCAGATTCAGCCAAGATTGCCTTGAAAATGTTTTTGGTCAACTTCGACTGCGACAGATAATTCCAAACGCTCTACAAGTTCGCCAACTTTTGAAAAATTTAGCAGTTATTCAAATCTTAGAAGTATCTCGTAAAGGAAGCTATGCAATGGGGAACTGTTTAGACGAAGAGAATTTACTGAATTTATCGGAAATTTGTGAAAGAGAAAAAATAATTCGTCATCATTCAACTGCATCAGTATCATCGATTCTGCCTTTAGACTGGGAAAGAGACGTATTGCTCAATAAAATTAAACTGAAATGTTCATTCAATTCAGAAGGTTACATTTTGAGAAAAATTAAAGAGAATCTGAAGTGCAAAGTCTGTATAAAATATATGTTAACTGAAAAACCTCATAGGGATTTTTCTAAATTGGTAGTTCTGAAAGAGTTCCGGCCAGGTTGTCTGAATTATGCGAGTGATGAAGCATTCAAAATTTTCGTTCGTTTGGAGAAAATATTTCGAAATTTATGCATTCATAAACCAAACAAAAATTTTGATTTTCTAAATTTGTTCAAATCATGTGCATACAGAGATCAAATTCTATCGGACATTTTTCTTCCCCAATGTCATGATGCGAAAAATAAAATAATAAATAGATATTGTCTATATAGGGTCAGAATTTATTTTAAAAAATGCAAAAGAATATCAAGGAATTCAAAAGCGAGTCGAAGTATGGGATTAAGAAGTTAGTGAGTTTCTGATTATGAATGCAAAACTCTGTTTTCAGTTTTCACAGTTTCGAAAGGTATATTCAGGTTCTCACATATCTATTACCTATACTTGGGTACTTATGTGAAGATGAAACCAATGAGAATAGTCTTTTATATATCAAGGGAATTATCATAAGGGCCTTACAACTATGCTAGAGGTTATCGTTTTGGAGATATTCACAATTTTCTATATCGATCCATATGTTACTTAGTTCCTAGGGCACTAAGTGAAGTTGCTGAGAACTCCTATGAAATGTTTATCTGTTCTCTGTATTTCAACACCCTGTATCTCCAAAATGAAACATTTTCGGACACAATTAAGCTTATATAGACTTTATTTCTTTGAATTATCCCAGAAATACTTCACTTGCACGTACTTATGTTACTTCCTGTATATTGAGAATAGATACCTTTGATGTAATATTAATAACCTCATGTTTTATACTCATCACTGGAGTACAGTTTCACAAACAATAAGGAATTATAGCTATAAGTTTATCCATATGTGTATATTTTCTAATATTAAAATGTTGTTACATGCATTCTTTTCATTTATATAACAGTTGTTCTGCTAGAAGTGTATCACTATTAATTGAAGTGGGTGTTTATACCTTATTCCCATTGTCCACCTACGGCTATGATTGATTTGACAGAAAATGTAACCTCTAAAATCGTATTTGACAATCAGGCGCTTCTAGGGAAATTGAAAAGACAAAGAGCAGAATATATGTCTTATTCTTTTATTCACTTAAACCATTGTATTATAGAAAATAGAAAAGGACAAAAGTTCAGCTGTGTCCGAACTCTTATCTAACTAATACCATCCAGTGACTCTAGTTTTGTCTACTGGCATCCCTGACATTGCTGTCACGTCAAATCCATGGGCGCTACAAAATTTTAATAATAGGTATGTACAGGGTATTTACTTGTTGAGGAAGATCATATGGCGAACAAGTTTTGTAATTATGGACTAATTCTATTGAAGATTGGTATCTGGGAGTTTTTCGGTATCGGAGTTCATGAATCCTTCATCAAAATTAGGAAAATAAAGATGGTGGATTCAATATGACTGACGAGTTTTGTGATTATGATCCGATTCTATTCAACATTGGAAAAAATCTGGGGTTTTCCGGGGTTGTAGATGATGATTGTTTCGTCAAACTTGGAAAATTCAAGATGACGGATCCAATATATAGGGAGAGAAATTTCTAATAATGATCTGATTCTTTTTAAGATTGGCATCTGAGGGTTCTCGGGGTCAAACTTTTGATTATTTGTCAAAATTGGGTAATTCAAAATAGCGGATTCAATATGGCGAACGAATTTTGTAATTATGATCCGATTTTATTCGAAAATCCAAATTTGTTTCTGGGGTTTTCCGGATTCGGAGATTACGACTATTACGTCAAAATTGGAATATTCAAGATGACGGATCCTATATGGTGGACGAGTTTTGTAATGAAGATCCGATTTTATTCAAAATTGGTAACTGGGAGTTTTCGGGGTAAAAGATAATGATTGTTTCTTCAAAATTGGAAAATTATTACTCTACCACAAATAGAGAATATGTAGGATGCAAGAGTGGAAATAACGTGCCTATAAGTTATACTGCGTATATCTACTTGTTCGTTACTTTCATCAATAAATTATTTGAAAATGAATTTTTATTCAAGGGAGACATCGTAAGAATAATATGTATCATGGGGGTAAAGTATATTCTATTCTTTATTTTCTTGCACATTTTATACGTATAACTTTTTATCAGCCTACTTTCCGTCCTAGACGAAGTTTTATACAAAGTGTGATATTTCCGAAAATAGACTAAGCACACATTACATGAGTACAGTAGTTCAGATACTCACATCGAACATCGAGGTTTTCACCATTTCTCAATCATAAGGCTCAGCTCATTCAGCTCATAGATAAATTACTGCTCAGCTTGAAATCAGAATTCATTCAGTCAATTCAGTCAACCCTGGTATACAGTCTGAGATATATTAAGCTTTCAGTATAATTTATATGTTCCCTACCTCGGACCTAGCGAAGATTATGCTGGGAGTAGTAAACTCTAAAACTAGAGGATTGTTCATCTATTTGGTATAGTTGAATCAGGAATTCCATATGAAACTTACGTATGATACGCCAGTGACCTCAATATAACCTAAAAAACAACAAATGTCAAAAATCTAGTGTTTATCCCCAGAATTGAATAAGGATGGAATTATATAACTGTTTCACAAACACTTTAGAGTGAGAGGAGACGAGGATCTGTCCGTACCCTGTTAAGATGACTTTAACGTCAATTTTTAGCTGAAGCTAGGGTCCCTTGATAAAAAGGGTACGGACAAATCATAGCTGCATTCTCTTTTAATGATCTAGAGACTTTAGTTTTGTCTACTGGCATCCTTGACATTGCTGTCACAGGCGCTACAGAAAATCATTCAAAATTTTAATGATAGGTATGTACAGGGTATTTACTTGTTGAGGAAGTTCATATGGCGAACGAGTTTCGTGATTATGATCCGAAGGAAATTGGAAGGTATATCTGGGGTTCTCCGGGGTTGAGAATAATGATTGTTTTGTCAAACTTGGAAAATTCGAGATGTCGGATCCAATGTATAGCGAAATAAATTTCTAATTATGATCTGATTCTATTCAAGATTGGTATCTGAGGGTTTTCGGGGTCGAACATCATGGTTTTTGGCCAAAATTGGGAGATTCGAGATAGCGGATTCAATATGGCGAACGAATTTTGTAATTATGATCCAATTCCATTCAAAAACTAGAATTGGTATCTGCTATAGAGCAGGAAAATGTATCTACCAAATGGTTGAGAAGAATTCTATCGCTAGAATTCATGAAGAAAATTTTGAAATTGCCTGAAGACATGAATTTTACCGGGCATAATTTGAGAAGAACCTCGGCAAGTTTACTTGCAAATTCTGGAGGAGACATTCTTGCTTGGAAGTCTGCAAATATCGCTGAAGGGTATGTGCAGCAATCTCTCACAAAATAGCAAAAGATTTCGTACCAAATTGTGGGTCAATGAAGTTAATGAAATTGATTGTAATCAGCCAAGTACGAATTCTGTATAATGATGTTTTTTTTATGAGAATATTACGGAAACTGCATTGGCGCTAGATCTCACTTCTATTGTGCTATTCAAATAACCACTGCTCAAAACTGCACTTTCAACATTACTTTATATAATTATTACACTACCACAAATTGAAAATATGTAGGATGCAAGTGTGAATGTAACGTGCCTATAAGCTATACTGTATACCTACTTCTTTGTTACTTTCATCAATAAATTATTTGACAATGGCTTTTTATTCAAGGGAGACGGAAAAATCATATTTATGTATAACGCATGGTATATTCTATTCTTTATTTTCCTGCACATTTTACGTATTACTTTTGGTCCTAGACGAAGTTTCATATATAGTGTAATATTAGTCACTCCATAAATTCTCCTTCGAGTTGAATTTCCGAGAATATATTTGGCACACATGACATGAGTACAGTAGTAGTTTAGATACCCACATCGAGGTTTTCACCATTTCTCAATCATAACTCTTAGTTCATTCAGCTTATAGATGAACTACTGCTCAGCTTGAAATCAGAAATCATTCAGTCAACCCTGGTATACAGTCTAAGAACAGTCTCTTTTCATGAAATATATCAAGCTTCTAGTACAATTTATATGTTCCCTACCTTGCAAAGATTATGCTGAATTAGAAAACCAGTACTCTGTTGTATATTGACCGGTGCACACATAAGGTTTTTCACGTGAGTTCGTACTCTACAATGACGGAGAGAGAATTGGATATTGAGTTCTTCATCGAAGAAATTAAAAAATATCCAGAAATATGGAATGTGAGCGATGAAAATTACCACGATAGAACGAAGAAGAGAGCAGCATGGACAAATATCTGTTGTTTGTTCAGCGATAATTTTGAACAGAAGGATGACAAGGAAAGAAACGAAATTTGTAAGTACAATTCATATTTATTGTCAAAATGTATCGATAATATTATACTGGTTTCAACTAGCATAGTACAAAAATATTACACATTATAATGTAAAAAAGTCAAATTTGTAACCTAAATATATTTGTTTTGCCAAGGAACGCTGCCAACCTCAGAAACGAAATAATTTGCCAGCTCATTTCTAGCTTGAATTGATTGATTCGGTCCTCTTTGTGTATGGTTACATCGGGTGATATCAACGAAACCTTCCACACTCAATGCATCATGAATATTGATTCCATCATTAGCTCTTACAAAATTATGAAGGGAACAGCAAGTTTTGATAAGAAGAACGGCCAAATCTGAATTAACATTTATAGCTTTCTGGAAAATTTTCCATTTATTAGACAGTATGCCAAAGGTACTTTCGACATTTCGTCGGGCACGTGACAATCTATAATTGAATACCCTTTTTTCTCTGACAAAACTTTGCCGCTGAATGGCCTCATAATATGTGGTGAGAGGGAAAAAGCCTCATCGCCAATAAACGTATAAGGCATCCTTGTTGCAGTACCTGGTAGAGGTTGTGGTCTTGGAATATTCAATGTATTATTTTCGAGCTTTCTGTAAAAAGAAGACCGTTGAAATATAGTGCTGTCAGATTCCTTTCCAAAATCTCCAACATCGATGTAAATGAAGTTGTAATTCGAATCCGCAATTGCCAATAAAACAATGGAAAAAAAATTCTTATAATTATAAAAGAGAGACCCGCTCATTTTTGGTTTCCTAAGTCTGACATGCTTTCCGTCAATAGCTCCCAAGCAATTTGGAAACTGGCAGTATTGTTGAAAACCTTCAGCAACCGTTTTCCACCGTTCTTCCGTTAACTCGGGAAAGGATTCTGGTAGTAAACATTCCCAAATCGCCATGCAAACTTTTCGCAAAATCTTTCCGATTGTTGTATGTCCTATTCTGTATGTCAAATGCAGATCAATCTGATCGCATCCACTACCCAAGTATCTGCAACAAAGAGGAAAATATACTCACGGTTCAGAAATGGTTTATTTAAAATATTGGAAAAATATATACCCGTTGTATAAATTTTTCAACATGTTCAAAAAAATTTTGATTATTTTCATATCTATTATACGTATATTCTTTTTTTTTCAGGCAACAAGTTTATTAAAAAGTGGAGGAACATAAAAGATACCTATACCAAAAGTTTAAAGAAAAAAACCAAGTCTGGACAGGCTGCTGACAAAACCAAAAAATACATTTATGCTAGGCAGTTATCCTTCCTTGGATCTAGTGGGGCCACAACTGAAACTCAGTCCAGCTTAGAGGGAACTAACGAAGATGAAGATGTTGCTCAACCGGAAACTCAATCTGAACATACAGTCGACTCAGAGGAATTAGAACGTCCAAAATACGACCAAGGGAGTTCACTGAAACGAAAACGAAACGTAGAGTCCGCATTGATAGACTTCATGACGAAGCCTACGCCTACGCCTCCTCCAGCTTCAAAACCAGATCCAGACAGATCGTTTTTCGAAAGTGTCCTTCCTTCAATTAGCAAATTTGACGAAGACCAAAAAATTGAGTTTCGCTGTGAAGTACTGAAACTAATTGAACGTATGAGGAACACACAAACCATACATCCACCGACCTTTCCATCTCACACGTATCCAATAGCACCCTCTAACCCTTATCTCTCTCAATCTTCTTTTCACTCTTCCAACAACTTGCAATCTTCTAAATCGTACCAATTTCCCCCCAAGTCCACATCCACTAATTACTCTTACAACCATGCATCTCAACCCTCATCTCATTTCGAACAAACACCTCTCTCTATCAGAGTTTCACCTCCAAGACCTTACTCTCAAATAACAGAACTCCGAACAGTTGCTGCCTCATCTTCACCAGATTTTCCCATTATTAATATAACGTCTCCAACCGATTCAACTTCTACAAGCCAAGACCAAGATGAGAGTTTGAATTTATTTTCGTAAAAATAATACTTAAAGTTGAGAGTTTGTATTTTTTTTTATAAAGAATAATGTTTATATTCGTGAAAAATAAATAAATGCAGTTAAACAAAAAAGTACTTACCTCAAAGTTACAGCTAGCATTTCCAATGGTGGAATGGAAACTCTCATCCAGGTGTCTTGAGATTTGATTTTGTCTGTAATTTCTGCTGCAAGCTCGTCAAATGATTTAACAGACATTCTGAAGTAATTATAAAACTTATCAGGATTTTCTCGTAAATCTGCGAAAGAAGTACGGAATCTACCCCTGAAAAGTCTCAAATCTGTGTAAGGATGTACCCAATAACGTCTGACTCGCTTGCAAAGGTACTGTTTGTACACAAGGTAAACAAAAACAATTTTTTTGCGATGGTCGTCCATCGTAACCTATCGAGCGCCGATCGTACACACACTGGCAGTATTTTACAAGCTAGTGTGCATTGAATCGATCCGGCTCCGCAACGACGCCGGAGAAGTGTGCATCAAATTGATCCGGTCTCGCAACGGCGCCGCAACGGTGCCGCAACTTAAAAAATCGGATGTGTGCATCGGAAAACTAAAGGATTGTTCATCTATATCTTGGTATAGTTGAATCAGGAATTCCATATGGGAATTACGTATTATACGCCAATGACCTCAATATGCCAAAAAAATCTAGTGTTCATCCCCAGAATTGAATAAGGATGGAACTATATAACTGTTTCACCAACACTTTAGAGTGAGAGGAGACGAGGATCTGTCCGTACCCTGTTAATACGTCAGTTTGCATCAAGGGACCCTAGCTGAAGCTACATGTAATTTGTGAAGCTAAGAGTATACTTCTGCTACATAACAGTGAATAGGGAGAGAAATAAGTGATTTCCAGTGTTATCAAGATATCATAGGACTGAAATTTCTCCAAATTACTGAATGTCATATTGAAGAAATTCAGATTACGCATCCATTGCCTAACTCGAAGCAATACTTTTTCTGTGATATCAGGGAGACTCTGTATAGCACAGACCTGGAATACATAATAGATGAGACTGATTTATTCTCGAGACCGTAGTCTAGCAATGAAAATCAGGAATACTTCGTTACAGTCTTTTCGACTTTCTAATAAGCTACATTATTTTGATCCAGATGCCTTCAGAGCCCAAGTCTCTAGAAACCATATTAAGCCATCTGCTTGTATACCTGGAATTGAACTTGATTGGAATAATAATTCTCGTATTGTCTTTTTCACTCGAGGAGGCGTAGAGCTTCATGAATAACGCTCATCTCAAATTGAAATTTTTTCTTCAAAGGAAATAATAAATGCTCAATCGGTTTATACATGACTAAATTCAAACTAGCCATCCCGAATTGAAAACAGCTGATTGAATGAATGGATTCTCCTTAGTCGTATCACAATACGAGAATTGAATATCTGCTACCAATTTATTTTCATTGCTTATATTACGGATTTTCATTATGAAACAGATTTTGGCTGATGAAAACCAATACTTTTCATTATGAAACGAATTTCCAGCATATAAAAATGAAAACTTAGGTATAAGCAAGCGATCTTTATGTTTCTACATAGGTACTTCTACATTCAATCACATCCAATCACGACGCTTCAAAAGTACATCAAGCAATTCATGGACTGGTGTTGTTGAAATGTGATATTAGTTTTGAATATATCTAATTACATTTTTTCATTTCAATTGGTCGTAGAAAAGATGGTGTCCACTATGAACCTCAATAGGCTCTGATGATCTACAGAGCACAGACACGGTCAGTTCGAGGATTCTATTATCACATATGGGGTTCAGGTCCTATTTAATCCTTCAATTTTATCAGAACACCGTAAAAGAGTCGGTGTTCGTTTTCTATAGATACTATCAGGAGAAAAGTTCCTCAGAAATCTCTGCAATAATTTCATCATGATAGCGATACTAGTCGGACGAACTCGCCAGGCCCAGTCAGCACATCTATTCGTTGTCAACTTTGGAATATGTCGAACAACACTCTACCTGAACGTCCAGAGAACGGCAAAGCTCTGGAATTTTTTGACAATGGAAGTATTCTCAAGAACTTTCAACCCCAAAAGTTCAAAGAAAATTCCTTGTTCACTTCTCACTATCCGAATTAACACTATTTTTCTCTGGTAGAAGCCATATTACTTGAAGTTGAGTGAACATTTCGAAGGGAAGAAGGGATGCTCGAAGTCATCTCTATAAATTTCGATGGTGTTTTTTTATGTTCTGGTTCCCACAAAAGGGGATATCCTGTAATTTTCAGGAATCGATGATCTTCTAGAATTTCTGGAGAATATTTTTCGGGAAACACCTCCCTTGGCAATGTTTTCCAGAGCCTCGCTGTTCGTTGGATGAACGAGTCTTCGGAAAGAGATGTTCTTCAGGTCTTCAAAATGACCACGAAGGAATGCGAAGCCTCATTTCGACGGGTTAATCTCGCGGGGACTGCCACGGGAGGAACAATTGTTGATATTCCAGAAGAGCATCGTCCATGAAAATTTCCATAAAATAGAGCCAGATCGTCAACTTTCCCACGGTGTTCCAGAGAAGTGAGTGAGTTAGTGATCGAGGCATCACCCACGAAACGAATTGCCCCTTTTGGACAGAATCCAACAGTTTCAGGATATGTTTGGGTGCTGCACTCCAAATATGGATAAAGTATTCCAGGACAGGTCGATGCCTTATAGATCATAAGCAGCTAACTGAAAGTGAAATAGCTCCTGGCCCGAAACAGAAAACCAAGTTTTTGGGATGCACTTCTAGCAATTGATCTCACGTGATTTTCCCAAAGAAGGTTATTGCTGATAGTAATACCAAGCATCGAAATGGATGTCTTCAAAGGTATGGTTACTACTGAAAAGCTAATGTTCGGCACAGTGAGATCAGCTTTTCTAGAGGAAAAAAAATGCTTGTGTTTTGTTTGCATTGAAATCTACCAAGTAATTGGAACCCCATTCGAAAATTGCTGACAAGTCTATATTGATGTTGTCAAAATTTCATTCTCGTTTGTTTCTGATTTGCCTGGCTGGTATTGAAGCCCTGGAATAGAAGTCGGTATGGAGGGAACTATCATTCGCGAAGCTGTGTACTGAACATTAAGTTGTTGTGAAGAAAACTAGCTAGAAGAGAACATAGCTGGGAAGGCAAGCCATAAGATGAAAGCTTGGCGAGGAGTCCGTGGTGCCAGACTCGATCGAATGCCTTGGAGATATCAAGTGCCACGGCTGAGGTTTCACTATATTTCTCAATAGATTGCTGCCTTATATGTGAGACGTAAACGAGCAGGTCACCAGTTGATTTCTGATGACGAATGCCATATTGCCATATTTCATGAGCTCGATGATCGATAGCTTTCTCCATGATCTTTGGAATGATAGATAGTAGTGCGATCGGTCTGTAGTTGCTAGGTATGGCCTCTTTGCCTTCTTTAGGAACTGGTTGTACTCTTGCAATTTTTGAGTTGGACAGGAATATCCTCCATTCATAAGAATTGTTGAACAACTTGCAGAGAACAGGTGTTTGTTCGGTAGCACATTCCTTGGGAACAATCGGTGGAATTCCATCGGAGCCACAAGCTTTGTTGGTGTTGAGATCTAATAATATCTTCCTTATAGTACGTTGGCGAAAGGTGAATTCGGGCATATGACTGTCAATTGGCGTTTTGTTTGGAGGTTGTTTCCCCGATGAATTCAGACTGAAATTTTCAGCAAATGAATGCGCGAAAATGTTGACTTTCTCCTGGGCAGTTGTGGCTAGTGTTCCATCTTCCTTGGATAGATGAGGAAACGAGCTGCAGGTGAAGTTTCTTTCTACAGCTTTGGCGAAGGATCAATTGTTACAAAATCAGGAGGGACATGTTTCGGTCTCATAAAATACCATCTCCAGCATAATTGAAAGTTCTACAATACAATTAAATTGATGTAAAAGTAATTCATACTTTGTTCTTGACTTACCTACTTAAAGTTGAAAAAATGTGATGCTACTAGTTGTGAAATTGTTGTCAATTTCCATGGTCGAACAATCGAGTTCATGAATAATAATAATAATAATGATAATTTTCATTTTCTGTTAAATGTATAACATGAAACAGTAAAGTACGTCAGGAAAAAAGAAAAAAATATAACAAACAAACAATGCGACAGAATCACAATTAAATACAATATATACATCACGTTACTAACATTACCCTCGATTATATAAATACTCAATCAGGCCTTTTGAATTAGCTGTTGTTTCAGCCTCTTTTTGAATATATGCAAGTTTTTGGAGCTCTTGAGTTGTTCATCAAGAGAGTTATAGAGTTTACAGCCAGTATAATAAAAACTTTTCTGGTACAACGTAGTTCGGTGTCTCTCAGGTTGAAGGTGGCTTTTGAAGCGTGTATTATGATCGTGCTTCTCAACAGTATTCAAAAACATGTTTTTAATTTTATAAACGTATAAACAAACTTCTAGTATCTACAAACTAACAACGGTCAGGATATTGGCTGTTCTGAAATATGCTCTGCAACTTGTTCTCATATCAACACTAGCAAGAATTCGAATTGCATACTTCTGGAGAACCAGTATTCTATTCACATGAGCACAATTGCCCCAATTCATAATCCCGTACTTTATATGGGAATGGAAATTGGCATAGTTCAGCAAGAATAGTATATGTGCCGAATGCAATGGTTCTTCATGAATTTCAGACTATTACAGCTACTCTGTAATTTTTTGCACAAATTATTAATATGATCGACCCAATGAAGCTGCCTGTCGAAAGTAACTCCAAATAGTTTTACTGACATGCTGCTTGTTATTTCATTATTAGAATCTTCAAATAGTTTGACTACATCAAACCGAAAAGAACAGTTATTGTTTTTCCATGATTGAATTGTAGATTATTATTTGTTTACCATTTCTCAATATTCGAATAATCCATTTCAGCAGTACTTTTCAGCCTATTTAGATCTTCATCAATTACCAAAATATTCGTATCATC